GCATTCTTGAGAGGATTTCCGGACATGCTGTAAGGCCTCAAGGTGGAGCACGTTGTACGTTGAGGAATCTCCTGTAGGATTGGTAGGAGGGGGGGGGGTCGTAATTGGCCTGAAAACTTTTTTATAATTGTTTCTCCCTGTTTACGAGCGTTATTCACAACGTTGGGAGGCTCCCATTAAGATGAGAGGGGGCATTTCCTTGTCGCTTTGAGAGGGGAGGTCATATCTGGGATTAAGAATTTTTTTCGTGAACGAGGAATTTTTCCCGATTATTGACTTTTTGCGGCTTTCCTGTTTCACATTTACTATATAATAAACAACCTAGTTGGCGGTGCAATCAGGGTTCTTCATCATACAGGGCACATCATCGGGGACTCCTGGACAGAGGGGGGGGGGTCGTATTTGGTCCAAGGGAATTTTTTTCGATAGTTGATTCTTCTTGTTTTATGGTCGCTATAAAGGGTGGATCTTATGTGATCGTTATTGGGGGGGGGCGTATCTCTCCTGGAAAAAGTTTGCGGCGCTGGGAAAACATTTTTCCCGGTTGCTCACTTTCGCGGTTTTTCCCCGCTTAACAGCTTGATTAGAGGAGAAGGGAAGGTCGTATCGAGCCACTTCGGGGGAGGGGGGGTCGTACGGACGCGACCAAAGTCCCCCAAACAATGATGTGCCCTGTTACCAGAACTGTTTGATAGTTAAATTTAGTATTTGTTCGGTGGCAAGCATCCCGACCCCCAACCCCCACTCCTCCCGCCTACTTTCCTCTCTTCCTTCTTCCCTTCTTCTGGATGGCAATGTTTGGCGGAAACCTGGATTGTTTTTCCTTGGAAAAGTGGGAGAAAGTGATGAAAGTGGAAAGCTAGTAATCAGTAAGATGGTAGGCATTGGTAGGGTAGGGAAAGAGAGGGGTCGTACCAGGGGAGGGAATTTGAGGAGGGGTCGTATTTCGCAAAGTTTCCCCAGCGACAAGACGTGCCCTGGTTGGGGTTCCCTATTCCCAAGAACATCACATGTCTTCTCACCGTATATTCGATCCATAGGCTTACTTTCATTCCTCTTTTCCATCTTTTTTTTCCAAATTTTGATTTTTCTTCATATAGCTTCTTCTTCGCCAGGCCTCCCAGAATCCGGTATACCGTATGCCCAAGGCTATAGTGAGGAGTCTTTGCACTTGATACACAAGGGCTTTGGAAACATGTTTTGTTGAGAGGAGTGATGTGAAGCCGGCTTGTCTGCGTTCTGAGAACGAATTGGATTATATGAATCTGGCAGATGAATGGTGAATGTCGCATCCATCTTCATCTCCCAAGAGGATTGACATGGGCAGCGAAATTTATCTAAAATGTCACAAGTTTCAAGGAATGAGGGCTCTCGACAGCCGAATTCTAGCCGTGGATTTAGAAATTATCTCAACTGTTGGCGCTATTCAGCTATTAAAATTCTAGAACTTCAAACTTTTAACGTCGCCTTGGAAGGTTATTAAGCGCCCTAATCACAGGATTAGTACTCATTTTAGGCTCTGAAGCCGCTGGATGCCACCGCCTTTTCCATCAAATCGATATAAATTTTAATTTTGATATCTATCAGTTTTGGTAGAAAAGGTGAAAGCTTGATATATAGTTTATCGGTTTTGGTGGGGAAAAGGTGGAGGGCGGGGGGGGGGGGTGGAAATGACATGTCCAGGCTTGGCCTTAGCAGGGCGAATTCCTCTCGAGCAATTCCACTCCCTGATTACGAATATGACATCCATTTTTCTCCGCCGGCGCATCTAGCGCTCTGCTACGGCTGAGCCTGGAATGGGGTACAAGGGGGGGGGGGAGAAAGAAGAATGTCCTAGGCTCAGCCTTGGCACCTGCCAGAGAGCGAACCCCTATCAAGTTCTTATCAAACAAACGACAACAGTGCTCTTTGCCTGGGGCACGTCGTACGTTGGGGATCACCAACGAGGGGGTCGAATATGCGTCACTGAAGTGACGCGTCTTTGAAATACGCGCGTTCAGCTACTGGACTTTTTTCGGTTCCCCCCCCCCCTGCAGGAAAAACTAGCGAATTTCGGAAAAAAGTGAAGAAGTGGTAGGAAGTTGGGAAGACGGTAGCTAGGATGGGAAGGATGGCATCGGAGGAAAGGATTTTCGGGGGGATTTTTTCCTAACCTAGGAAGTGTAGTGCCTTTGTCCTAGGAAGTGTCCTGCCTTTGTCAGCGCCGACGCCGAAATGAATTACCATATTTGTGCTCAGAATACCAACCCCAATCTGCACGTTCATACAGATTTTGGTAAAAAAAAGTGATGGTTCCAAACTGACTCCTATTCGCGCCAAGTAGCGCCGGCGCTAGAATGAATACTATATTTGGAATCAGGGCATCAAATGACCCTAGTATGCAAGGTTATGCGAAATTTGGTGGGAGTAGAGATGGCGCCAAGTTAGTGGCGACACCTTTCTGGCGCCAAATGGTGCCGCCGCTAAGGTAAGAGTGGGTGCTATGCTCGTACTTATGATGCCAAATACTGCATTATGCAAGTTTATACCACCCCTGGTGAAAAAAGTGATGGTGCCAGATTGGCACTGGTGCCAAAAATGGTTGTCGTATCGCAGCGAGGGCATTGAGGGACCCTCAAAAGCAAAGTTTGAGCGAGGCTTTTTTTATTTCTGCCTGGTAATAATTGGATGCCGAGTTGTATAATGCAGAAAGTTTTGATTTCTGATAGTTTTTCTTTCAGCGTGTGCTCCAGGTGGTACTTCAAGGCATCGGTATCGCGGCAGTAGCTCATGCTCACTTTGCGCTCCGACTTTTATCAGGACCATCTCCAAAAACTGCTGGTTTGTTTGGGTGTGTCCTTCTCATCCTCATTGGTTCTTCTGATAAGTCCCCTTGAAGGTGATCACGTATGGCTTCACCCATATCTTCTCATATCGAATCTACGGCATACTTACGCGAAGTTTCTTCCTCCCAGCACCTGTCCTCAGGATCTCAAGTAGGTTTAGTTAGAATTTTTGGTGCAGATCGACGACGGGGGGGGGGGGGGCATTCTGCACTTTTGCTACTTCCCATCGACGTGTCGAGCCATTCAGGGAGCTTGTTGAGCTTGCAAGAGTTGACAGGTTTTACCAGAGTGGGACTTGTTAACCGGAAGTGGTGAAGCAGCAAAAGTGCAAAATGTTTCCCCCACCCCTGTGGCCCAAGTGTGCCGAATTTTCCTACTTTCATCAGCTTTTTTACGCATATGTCTTTCCATTACTCCTCAGTTCGGCTAGAAATTTGTCCGCGCGGTAATTTGACCCCTGGACGCGAACATCGCATCCGTCTGGAGGGTTGTAACTGGAGGATATTCGTATCCATGGAGTCAAATTACCCTTGGAGACAAAATGAGATTTCGGCCCCACGGGAGCAGAAGAAATCGAGCAGTAAAGGGTCAAATACGTGTGCCGAAAGTTGAGTAGAAGAAATAGAGGAAAACTGATGCAGGGGAACGGTGTAGACCCGGGGAAAAGGATTCATGAGATAGTCCTCTATAAACAGCAGGTCACGAGAGAGTGAGGCCATATATTTTGCCAAGGCTGGAAAACCCTTAATTTGTTTTGTTCATGAAAATTCGCTGGCTAATTAGATGTAATTGCTCTGTGCGTGTTTGTCTTGCATTTCTTCAAATCCTAGAGCCTCGTAGTCTTTAGCTTCCACACTTGCTTGCTTCTGCGAAGGATGCTGCAAATGGCTGCTGGACTGGGAATCCGAAGGGTCTTAAAAATTTCGAAAAATATTCACGAAAGGTTAGAGAGAAGTTGTGCTTAGAGGGGTGTGATTTCTACATAGTGCCTTTGCTGCCATGAACTTTTTTGGCACAGTTCGTTCTGTCGGGGCCACCAAATCATCAGGGCACGTCCTCCATTCGGAAGGGAGG